TGATGCATTTATATATATATATATATATATATATATATATCTGCTATTTATATTTATAATTTTTATTTCTTTGTATTTATGTATCTGTTATTTATATTATTATTTTTATTTGATTATTATTATGTATTATTTATGCATTATTGGTAGATACAATAGCCACTGGAAGAAAAAACAATTCAGTCCTGGTTTATTTTACTATCAATTATTTATATTAAATTGTTTTTTATTTTTATATTTTCTGTTTTCATTAATTAATAAAATAAATGAATCTTTTTTTTAAATATATTTTCACAGTTTATTTTATTTTAATTATTACAATTAAAATTATTTTATTAATATTATTTATTTTTATTTTTATTATTAACAACTCTGTTTCTGTCGACCACAAATTGAACCCTTTGCATGCTGAACATTTCATACAACATAAAAAAGCTGTAAATAAATCAATTGCATGTTAAATCACAGTTGTGTGCTTATCTGCATTTTACAGCAGCATCAAACGCAGCTTATATATTCAGAATTTCATAACTGTCTGTTTTATAATCTTCCACATATCGATATCATGGCTACAACACAGAAAGTTCACTATCAGAGTCTCAGTAAGAGTAGCTGGTAATTAAGAACGCAGCCCAAAGGCAGTAATTTGCCAGGCAATATTTCTGGCTTCTGGGAATTAAAAGTATAACCTAATTATCTGCTCCTATTAACTGTGCTGAAGCCGAGGGAGCGCAACCAGACACGGCACCCAAAAGCACTGCACTTTGATTTTAAGAGCTCATAAAACTGCATGCTTCAAAACCAAAATCTACAAATTAGAGAATAAATTTGCCAAAATTCATGTTTTTTGTTGCATAATTTGAAATAATGCAATGACTGCATGACTAAATTTGCATGCATATATCTTTCTGCACATGCATTAAATATGTAAGCATCCAAAATTTCCCACAGTCTGTTATTTTTTAATTTTGTAGTACATTTTTTAAAGTTAAATATATTATATTAACTGAGATGCTATTATAATATCTTGATGGTGCTAAAATAACACTGCATATATCTTTATGGAGATGCATCAAATATATATAAATATATATATATATATATATATATACACATCCAATATTTCCCACAGTCTGTTTCTAAAATTTTGCAGTTTCATCTTAAATACTGTGCAAAATAAGTATTATTTATGCATTATTGGTAGATATCGGTCTCTGAATTGGCCACTGAAAAACCCACAACTATTATATTTTTAAATAATATTTTGAATTAGTTTTTATTTTTATACTTTGTTTTAATATTTTAATTTCAGTTAAAGTTTTATTAGTTTTGTTGCACATTTTTGCAATTTTTATTAGTTGTTTTTGTTTTTAATATGCCTATTAATTTTTACTTTTAGGTTCAGTTCAGTTATTTTAGTACATCAAGATAAACTAAATGAACATTTTAAAAGTTTAATCAAATAGAATATTATCAATATAAAAATAAAATGGTATTTTATCAATAAAATAAGTTTATTTTATTTTAAGTTTAAATAAGTTTATTTTTAATTCTATATATTTAAATTTATTTCGTTTAATTTATTATGTTTATTTTAAGTAACTTTAGTAGTTTCAGTTGACTATAATAACCCTGTTTTTTGGTATATTTGCGCTATGCCACAAATATAAAAATTTTTCTGGATATTCAATGATAAATGCTAAGTTTAGTGTTTCTTGAATTGTACCACCATTTATTACATGCATAAATCAAAGCCAGACTCAAATGCCACACTCAGACGTCTGAAAGGCCCCACAATCTTATTGTAACCTCCTAATAACATTTCCTGAGGCTTAATGAGACGATGCAAACTCTTGTCATTTCTGCAGACCGGAGGCTCAAAGCTCAGTGCCTGTGGATTGTATCACGATAACTGATGTACGACTGGACTTTACCGATTATGACATGAACTCCCAGATCCATCTGATTATCTCATAGCCCAGTCCTCGTCAGTATCGCAACCCTTGCGCAAAACTGTGAAATAAAAAAACAAATAAATGAGCAGTATTGCCTGTCATTCAGATATGCAGCATCTAAAAACTAAAACAGACATATATCGGTACGTTTAATTTTAGTTTTTTGAGAAAAATGTGGCTTAAAGGTATAGTTCACCCAGAAATGAAAATGTGATGTTTATCTGCTTACCCCCAGGGCATCCAAGATGTAGGTGACTTTGTTTCTTCAGTAGAACACAAACGAAGATTTTTAACTCAAACCGTTGCAGTCTGTCAGTCATATAATGTAAGTGGATGGGAATCACGGCTTTAAGAGTCAAAAAAACATACACAAACAAAACCAAATTAAACCCTGCTGCTCGTGACGATACATTGATGTGAAAAGACACGAAACGATTGGTCCGTGCAAGAAACTGAACAGTATTTATGTCCATTTGAGAGATAGGTGGCAGTAATGCACTTATAAGTCTGCGATCTGTCGTAAAGCAAGAAGAAGAAGACGCGTCACGCGCTCAGGACAGTTCGGACATTGCAGTGCATCAGAGGTAAAAAACAATATAAATAATGTTCAGTTTCTTGCACAGACCGATCGTTTCGTGTCTTGACACATCAATGTATCGTCACGAGTCCAAAACATTTGGTTTTGTTTGTGTATGTTATTTTGACTCTCAAAGCCGTGATTCCCATCCACTTACATTATATGACTGACAGACTGCAACGGTTTGTGATAGAAATCTCCATTTGTGTTCTACTGAAGAAACAAAGTCACCTACATCCTGGATGCCCCGGGGGGAAGCAGATAAACATCACATTTTCATTTCTGGGTGAACTATCCCTTTAGGCCACATTTTTCGTTCCCAGAGCTCATGCGCCTCTATTTTTGAGTGAACATTGCTGAAATGATCCATAAATAATGCTTTTTTTTAAAACTAAAAAACGGAGGTGCATGAGCTCAGATCCATGCGGCCAACGATTAATGAAAAAGAAACACAAAACCTGTGCTGATTGAAAGAAAACAAGTTGATAAAAAGATTGAATGCAATACTTTGTAATATTATAGCATAATTGAGAGATTTACAGATTAGGTACAGCAAAGCACAAGCGCAACCAAATTTATTACAAACACTACATAATGCTGAAATAACACCATTATAATTCAAGAATAAACACAACATTTTATGATAAACATTTTTATATTAAGCAAGAAAGACATGTTAACTACATGATTTTAGCGTCACGTCATTACAAAGACAGAGCATCTTATCGAAGTTCTTCTAAATAGTTACTATTTCGGTTATTAAAACATTGTGGGAACATAGTTTTGAAATGTTTCTGAAATATTGAAATGTCCAGTTTCTAACATTATTTGTTTAACATTTAACAT